CATATCCCTTTTTTTACTCCCCCTGCCAGTCTGGCTGCCTTGGGACTACATCCTGCAGCACGGCAGGGATGCAGACCTCCTTTTTGCTCTCTGTGTGTGCATATGCAGGTATGGGCAGGTAGGCAGAAAATGTGGGAGGCACACAAGTAGGATGCCAGCTTTCCTCAAAGAACTTTGCAAACCTATGTACGCCTTCCTGAAAAAAGGAAAGAAACCACTATCCCCACCTCCTCCACATAGGATTAATCTCAGCGCTGCCTACAAAAGCACTAGAAGCTCTTAAAGCTTTCAGTCAGGTTAAGATTTGCTGAGTCTTCATTTGAGCTGTTGGCTTTTCACTTCAGCCTAAGTCACAGCATGCAAAGCCTTTGAAGTTAAGGTATATGAAGCCGAAACTGAGCTAGAAAGACAAACTACAGGACTTGCAATAAATAAATACATACATACATACATACATAAACAAACCACGCTACCTTCCCTTCATTCTGCTTCCAGGCTGCATTTAAATTCTACCCTTTGCTGTAAGTAGAATAAAATCTTTCCTGACTTTTTCTCAGCTAATAATTTGAAAATTGTTACTGACTGGATCTCCATTAGTTTCAAAGGAAGACTACCCTGCAGCCTCAGAGACTGACTAACTTTGGTGGGAACGGTTGGCTTGATGGTGTCCTGGAAGTGGTATGGGTGATGTCAAGTTAGGCTTTGAGGACCAGCTGCAGCAGCGTCCCAGAGCACAGCAGCCTCTGGCTCCCCAGCCGACGTGTCCCCAGAGCACGTGGGACAGTGAGGTCCAGACGTAATGCTTTGGCTCTGCTTGGGGATGTGCTGGAGAGCCGCTCATCTACTCTTTGAGGGTGTCTTGGGCTACTCTCAAAAGGCAGCAAGGAGCATAGGGTTAAGAAAAAGGATAAACTTTACATGTGCATGTGTCAGCAAGAGAGCCGGAGAGCACAGGGGAGCAGGCACTACAGGGCACTTCCCAGCAGAGCCAGGCTATGATTGCAGTATGTATTTTTGGGAGAAGACAGGTTCCTTGCCCCTGCATAACATGAGTTGGTGGGCAGGAGACTGGTTCATTACCCACCTCTGCCTTGCAATTCCTTTTGGTTCCCTCCATGGCTTCCCACTTCTCCTGCTGCCGGGCTGTGAGTTGCAGGCAACGCATAGTAATGACAGGATTGTACGCATGGTGCTTGCTCTCATTAAATGCTACAGCCGTGACTCTGTTTGTCATTCTTTCACTGCTATTGCTCAAAGATGCCTCTTAGTATCTTCTCCACCCATAAGAAAAGTTAGGACTAGAGGTGCTCACAGTGATTGATAACACCAATATTTTATTCATTGCCTGTTAACATTCCCTAATGACATTTCTGTAATTATTTTAATTGGTTTTACAAAAAAGAATAATAACGAGCCCCTAATGCTTGTTGGTGTTTGGCTTAAGCCAGTCGTTCACAGATGGCTCACTACTTTTAATGAATGGAGACATTTATTAGGTTTTTTTGGGTTGTAGCCACTTTCACTGCCTCTCTACATCTGGAAAATACCTTTTCTTTTTCCCAAATCCACAATGATCCTAAGAAATGCCCAGTAAATGCAGCCCCCGTGGAAGCCAGCCAGACCTCTCATTCTCATTACCAACAGCCATAACCATGTCTCTTTTTTATGCACAGTCACACACAGCGGCCAAGCAAAGATGGGGACAGCTAACTTGCAAGAACATCTTCAGAAGGCTTTCCCCAAACATGCAATGGGGCAAAAGCAACCAAAACAGCAGCTATGGGAAGAATGAGCAGATATAATTTGATATTTCTGTCCAGCATGAGCCAGAGCATAAAAGAGGCCAGATGAATGTGTTTCTCTCTCCACCGGTGTGGATGCAGAGATGACCTACCCACAGACAGGGTGTTTCTGGATCCTCACCCACACATTCAGCCATGCAACCCTCTTCCCGAGCAGCGAGAGCACCTCAGCTGCTTTGGCCCTTGCTCACTGGCACATTTGCGTGCCTGGGCAGGTGAACAGACCGTGATTTGGCAGCATTCAGTTTGTGCAGGTGATTTTCTTACCATTTCATCACATGCTGCTGCTCTGGGATATGGGGCTTGTGCAGGCGTGATACACGCTGTGCTCTCTCCTGGAGATCTTCCTTTGTGTTTGTTCCTACATTGTTTTTCTGGATTTGAAATGAAATTAACCACAACCCTGCTGAAGGGGAAGTTTTGAGAGACAGTAATGCCTCTAGAAATGTTGTTATTTTAAATTTTCTAGGTTTAAAATAAGTTTCAGCAAGGGTCATTACAGGAAACATGCTAGGAATAACTGCAGGAGAAGCCCAACCAACCACATGATACTCCTTTTAACTTGAGCTGACCTTGTGTTGTGGGTTTAGAAATACATTGACTGGAGAAACCCAACTATAACCAAGGCCTTGCTGCTTCTTGCTGAGGCAGAGTCTGCTTGTCCCTCCTGCTGCTAAATAGGCAAGTAGGAGCAGGAGGAGGCCAAGAGCACCATGATAGAAAGCAGGTGAGATATAGGGGCATCAAGCAGCTTTGAGGATACAGGAGAGTGGAGACAAGCTGGAACCCATTGCACCCAAAAATTGATGCCAACCATGCCACCCTACCCAGGACAGCCTGAAAGGACGTGGCATGCATGGACCTCAGAGGTCAGACAGGGCTGGACACACAAGGGACAGAGCCTGAGATGCTCAGGGTAGAAGCACGCACGAGGGAGCAAAGGAGCCCTGCGTTCTGGGAGGCAGCGGCTGTATGCTGAACCCTCTTCATCCCCAAATTTACGCCCGGGCTCAGGCTAACAGAGAGGACCTCCTTGGCTCAGAGCATCTCGCTGCAGGTGTTATAAAGAGAATTAGAAAATTTGTGTAATTTGAGCGGAAATCTCCGGCCATCAGTAGCACAGTGCTGAATAGGAAGGAAAATAAATAAGATCCTGCTGGTTGCTGTTCTGCGGGAGCTCAGACCCATCTCTCCAGCGCATTGTTTATTTCCCTGGCTTGGCAATTTGGCAATTGCCCAAAGGCTAATTAGGCACCTCAATTTTCACTTTTGTGAGTAGCACCACAGTGAGGATTCAGGAAGAGGCAATATCAATAATTTCTTCACAAACAGCAAAAACATTTGCTCTGCATTAAGTGCCTGAAGACAACTGGAAGCAAACTCTATGGCTGAGCTGACTCATATAAGTGAACCCAGCAGAATAAAAGCTGCCCTTCCCTTCTCTGCTACCCTTTAAAGATCCTCTACAAATCTGAAAACTGGTGGAGGTGGAAAGATTTCAAATCCTGGTTTTCAAGTTTAGAGGCAAAAGCAGCCTCTCAAAAATAAAAGAAAAATAAGCAGGATTTGCATTCGGGCCATTGCTTGAGTTTCAGACAACCCCAAAGTGCAGTCAGTCACTGTGCTCTGAGGCAGGGGCTCAGTTCATGAGGATCCCTCTCACATATGGCTACAAGGTCAAGGCAGGGATGACAAGGGACAAGGAAGAACCGTGGAACAAGGAGGAGCAATAATAAACACTGCAAGAAGTTTGAAGGAAGGAAGCTTCTCTGGATGGAAAAGTTCAGGGCAAGGCTGAGCGAGAAATTCCTGCTTTTGTAAAGAATATCTAAACAAAATCTGTATCTGCTTGTATTTTAAGTCTGGCTGCCCCACCAAAAGTGAGTTGGGCTAGTACGAGCGAGCGTCTCAGCGTGGAGCTGCACTATGGAGCTCACAGATAATATCCTCAGCTGCTGCACGAATTTCAGACACAAATTTATGTCTTGGATGGATATAGACAGTTATCCCTACTCTACAAGCAGCCCACATTTTTCAAGAGGTTTTTTTTCCTGCTCTTCCTATACTTTCATATTTCCTCTCTATTATCTCCCTCTCCTTCTTCCCAGTGTCACCTTGATACAGCAGATCCTACAGCGGGTAGCAGTGAGTCAGCATTCAATTCAATGATGATCAGGTGGGTTCACAGGCAAAATAAACGAGGACTCACTCCTGATAAAATGCAAGTACAGTGTAAAACTCCCTAATGCTACTGATTTCTTACCAGATCCTTGGAAGTCTTCATAATCCTTTTTGCTTTCCTTATTGCAGCACTCAGCCCCACCTAGGAGAGCAAGAACAAAACAAAACAAAAAAACCCAAACAGATCAGCCTCTCAGTGTTCTGCCAATTTTTGTTCCCATTTTCTACCTTTTTTTATTTTATAATATATCAGTCACAGCACAAAAATGATGTATGAGTCCACTAACTCATCATCAGTTACTTTTTATTGGCCTAACAATCAATTATCCGATCACCCCCTATGACACTCCAGTTGCAAGAGTTCATTTATTTTGCTCCAGGGCATCATTTATTTCCTACGGAAAAGTCCAGATCAGTTAAAGAGCTGAGATTCATATCCTGACTGCACTGCGTGAGCTGCAGAGGACAGACTTCTCCAGTGACTCCTGCTAGACCATTAGATGGTCAAAAGAGGGTCATACGTGCGATGCTGGTCTGACTTGCTGTGGAAGGGTACAGAGGAAATATTTGGCCTTGCATGGATAAGGGTTATTCTTGGTTAAGGTTCATCTTGGCAGGGGAACAGCTGGTGCGTGGGAAGCTACAAAACAGGGAATAGAGTTTGGAAAGCAAATCTCCTGCTTGGGAACTAGGAAGGTTAGCTTTTTATTCTAGAAATACCTGCCTTGGAGGGCAAGTTCTCACAGACAGTGGCAAGATTGTTTTTTCTATTGGGTTCATGCAAATTTGTGCTGAAGAAGCACTTTGAGATTCTTCCAAAATTAGGTACTTATACCTAAATAGAAAGGAAGAGTGGGAAACTATTGCAAGAAAAGACCTTGGAAAGGCATCCTCACCAAAGGAGGACAGGTTGGCCATCATAAACACACAGGTTACAACTACTGGTGATACCTTAATAATTCCCCAAATGCCTTCCCCTTTATACGCATGCTGCTCAAAGGAGGAGAGCAAATTTTGTGTGAGGGGCACCAACTGTGAGTGTGAGTGACAGCCGGGGACCAGTGCTGCTGGTGCAGGAGGATGGACGTGCCATGTGTGGTGCAGCAGGGCTGTGATCAAAGGCACTTACCCCAGCCAGGAACTACCAAGCACTGCTGAGGTCCTGCTCTCAAGCCTTCCTCTAGGTTCTCCCATTGCAAAAATCTCAAGAGATACATATTTTTGCAGCCCACCTGGTCCACAGCCCTGAGTCCTGCCTGGCTGAATGCTGGGGCACAGGGAGTAAGCAGGGACTGTTTCTGAACCATGCTGTTAAGCTTACCCTGGCCTTTAGAAATGTGGCCCATACCACAGCACAGAAGGACCACACTGATTTTCCTGCTACAAGGACTCTACTCAGTCATGGAGGTGAGGAGATGCCCCAGGTATGCTCATGCAATCCAAAATATTTAACAACTGTTTAACAACCCCGATGAACAGCACTTTCTAAATTCAGCCATATCTTCCTGCAGGAAGAGAAGATCCCAAAACTCCAATGAGAAAAAAAGAAAAAAAAAGCTAGTCACAGGGGTCCGGGAGGGTGGTTTAAGTTTGTGCTACGGGTACCCTGCTCGTGAGACAGCCAGTTGCTAACTGCTCCTGAGATGAGCTCAGCTTGCAGACTTGGGTGCAAACTTCAGGCAAAAGCATTTGGTTTTGGCAGGGTAACACCAACATGCTCCCTCCTGCTGCTCCATTTTCACTTTTGGACAATATTGTTCCATCTCAGTGATGATAATTCCCACACGGTGCCCTGCTTTTATTAGGTCACCTTTGCAAACAGTCGTATCTGTGAAGCAGTATCTTTGCGATGGCCTTTGTCCTTTCCTTCAGCATTCAGCATGAAGAAGGCTGAAAATACTGCCCATTTGCCCTCTTTCAGAAGGAATAACTGCTTTTGTTCTGTAGGCTTTGAGGATTGTTTAAAAAAAAAATAAAATAAAAAAGAGATAAAAATCAATCACTTTTTGAAATGTTCCAAATGGAAAGAAAAATCCAGTGTATCACAAACATTTGTTTCTGATCAGAACGGTTAGCGAGGACAAACTGTTCTGTCTGACGACGACCTGGCCATCAGCCTCTCCTACAGTCCAGCCTAAGGACGTAACTGCTAGCTTCACACCAACCAGGTCTGAGGGCTCCGAGGTAAAGTTCAGCACAAGTTTATATTTATCTAGCTGGAGCTACAGGAACTCAACACGGGGGAAAAAAGTATGCTTCGCCAATTGGTATTATTAAAGCATTTGGAAAAAAAAGAAAATATCCCTCAAGTGGTAGCACCTTACTGAACAGCGGGCATGCCAGCTTGGAGTATTAAAGCAGCATATATTTGCATTTAAAGCAACCATTACCAACATTTTTTAACTGGGGATAAAATTTAGCATGTCATTATAATTGATTTAGGCAGTGATCAAAGCAAATTAATTAACTGTGATATTCAAAGGTCAAAAATTTATAGCGAACAATATAAAGGGATAAGGAAGAATAAAAATAAGAAGCAAGGAACACTGACTTCTAAGTTATTGTTTTTTAATATATGTGTCACATTAATATATGTGTTTAATATATGTTTAATTCATTGTGTCTATAGTCTTATAAAAATCTAGATGTCACAAATAGATGAGAGATGCTAGGAAGGAGCCAAGACACTGTTTCCTAGTTTTTTCCCTCTGGGCAACTGCTGTCCCCAAAAAACAAACACTCATCTTGCATTTGCCAAAATTATGTTGTACATTACCAGCTGCTGTAATTTCTGCTATAAAGTAACTCAAGACTCAGATCAGGAAAATGGCTTAAAATTGAATACAATGCATGAAAAATTTCCAGAGAGGTAAGATTCATCAGTGCCTTTCTCCTGGGCAGGAGAGGAGAAACCTTTCTTGCTCTCAGAAGAACTGCATGAGAAGCCCACGCTTCAGACAGCTACAGCAATATTGCACACAGAAAGCAGAAAACAAGGGAGGAAATGCTGAATTGCCCCCCGCGTGTAGAAAATGCTTTCTCTGAAATGCTAAGGATGAGATTTCCTCCCACTGCAGAAGTTACTTCAGCCAGGACTCCAGGGTGGGCTGTCGAGGACCAGCAGCCGAAAAACCCATCCGGGAGAAAACACTCTTTGTTTCATGGGTCGCCTGTAATCCCTGGTTGACACCAGCATGTCAAGCCTGCCACCAAACACCCACACAGCCCACACAACCTCTTTTGCTGCAGCTTGTCTAGCAAGCAGCCTCCCTCTCTGTCCCACGGCATGAAAACGCCACCGAGGAAGGGGATCCCTAGGCTCCAGCAGCTGATGGTCGAAATCGCAGCCGCTGCCCGGAGGGTTCGCGGAGGTCCTGGGGTGCACCCAGCCCCATCCGCCCGAGTCCATGCGGCCCTGCAGCAGCACACAAGATACCCATGCCGTGGATGGGGCTGGGGTCGGAGGGGGTCACTGGGATTTCATTCACTGCCTTCTATCAGTGCTCTCCACAGAGCCCGTGTATTCCCAGTAATGAATTTTTTGCAAACAAACAAACAGATCTATTTCTCATCACAAACAAATGCACGAACCAACTTTAATTGTCTGTCATTTATCATCCTTGTTAGCCAGCTCTTTCCCAGGAGAGCAGATATTTACAAAACACTCCAACAGTTTCCCTTCTAACTCATTTTCATCATCCTTTTACTACGAGTATGCGTACCAAGGTACCAAAACGCTGCAGAGTTTGTTAAACAGCACTGGGAAAAACGGGATTTGTTCTACAACTCCCACCTTTCCTCCTCCAGAGGCCGTAGGGGGAATCTTTACGATTGCACAAGAAAGCCAAACCAAATGATATGTGCTCTGGATGCAAAACAGGGACCTTCACTGTAAGCCCAAATCTAAAACACACAAGGCCTGACTTGGTCCTTTCTCCTCCCAGGGCAATTAATCTGACTTCTGCTCATTTTATGCCACTTGTTTCTTTCGGACTTGGACTCTGTGTGTTCTGGATGAAATATTTTGATTTACTTTGTCTAGCTTGCCTCTGCAAAACAGTCAGCATCCATGAGCAACGCTTCCTTGTCCTCACACTTTTGTCTGCCAGCCTCCCATCCCAAATGCCGCTGTGCCCATGGGTCGCCTGAGACTTGTTTTCAGGAGTCCTGCCTGAACTTCTGCATTGGTACAACACAGGTGCATGCAGCGCTCTGCAAACCCCACACCACCCTGTTTTCTTTGGATTTATTTGGCGGAAGGTTGGGGTTGTGTGGTTTGCTTTTGGGGGTTCTTTGGAGGTTTTTGAGGGTTTTTTTTTTTTTTGCATTTTATGTTCTGCCAATGAAGAGGAGCATGGGAAATTGTGAGAAACAATTGAAAGAGGAAGAACTAGTGCTCAAACTGTGCCTTTTGCTATCGCTCATCCATAGGTTGTTTCTTCAGGGCTCAGTTCTGACTGCAACAGAAACAACAGACATTTCAGTAGATTTTACCTATTTCCAAAAATAAAGTCTAAAAGGAGGGCATCTTTCTCCCCAGAACCTAGCCTGCCTCCCAGATGCTTGCTTTATGGTCTGTGGTCTCAAAAGAAGGAAACAGGTCCCAGCCACAGGGTCTACTTTTGACTGGCAGCCTGCTCTTACTGGGAATGCAGAAGCACTCCCACCCCGGAGTTTGGTTCTGCTTCACATCCTGGGAAGCAGTTCACATTTTAACCGAAAGAGAGAGAGGAACGAGAGAAAATAGTGGGAGTATTTTTATTTTATGAAACCCCAAAGGGTTGCTTTTTTCCAGCCAGAATTGGTTGGTTCTTACTTTGTGAAAGAGCAGGCTGGCAGCAGTGACGTCTATGAGGGATGTGGCTTTTGCTTTTTACAGTCAGTGAAAGACCTGATAGAAGGGACATGAACCAGCATGAGTGCTTGTGGCAATGAGGCTTATTTTGTTAAGATAAAATGACATTAGCATAAATATGTATATTTTTGCTGACATAAGATGACTCCCAGCAAAATCCTACTACTGGAGATTAAGCTAAAATCTGCAGCCACAAGGTCTCTAATAATCTGGAGCAGAAAAGTGATGGGGAGCAGAAGAGGCACTCTGAAAGGCAGAAGGAAGAGTACAAGCTCCTTCCAACACAGACTGTTTAAGTTTGCCAGCAGCAGGACTCCAGAGCTGAAGTCAAGCCATTATTCTGGCCTCAACAGAATCAATTAAAGTATTGCCATTTAACTAAACAGGCCAGCTGGCTTAAAACAATCTAGAGACAAGCTGAAAATAATCTCTTGCAGACCTGATCGTTGGTAGGCAGTCCCTAAACCCCCTCACCTTATTTCAGCCCTTTTCGCTCACTAGAGGAACGTCTCTATATCATAGGGCCTGGTGCAGAAAGTCCTCTACCATGTGAACTGATAAAACTTTTTTGACTAAAAAAAAAATCCAGTCATCCTAAACCAACTAGCTTGGATACCTGTACCCACTATCAGCGTTTTGGAGAGATGCTGCAGCGAATATTAGAGTATCTGTGTTGATGTAGCTTAAATCACAAGGCATATTAGGGCAGCTTTAGATACTGCCCAGTTTTCAGCTACCTATGGTAAGCCTACACTTCTGATGCACTGTATTATTTTGCACCCTGACTTGAAGGAGTCCCCAGTGCTACTACCCTCACACTGAGGCTAGAGGAGAACCTCTTGTTGGGCAAGAAACGTGCAGCAGGAGAGCCTACGCATGCACATCTACCTGCACTTCCAGCCCTGGCCCAGGGTCTTCTCTACAGGTCCCACTGGTGGCAATTAGGGGCTCACAGGACCCCACTACAAGCAACATCTGCTCGCATGGCCGTGATGGTGATCCAGGAGCTGCAAGTGCCCCTTCCACTCTTCCCCACCAACATCAGGGGTCTGCTCCTGAAACTGCCCACCACCAGGGCAGCCCACCTTGCCCAAGCCCCCGGGGAGCCCCCGTAACAGAGCCGCCCTCGCCCAGGATAGATGCTCTCCTCCTCCAGCTCCACGCTGACAGCATTGCGCTCTGTGTCAATGGAGCAATATTTTTTATTCATAATTAGAGCCACGTCTCCTAGAATAATCACAGAGTGCTAATGGCTCCAGGCAGGTTGGAAAAAAAATTAATTTGGGCTAATTTGTCAGAGACCAGGGAAGTATGTAATATAATGCACGTATCATTTACTCTGCTTGCAGTGTCTCCATTATGCAGATAGTTTGCAAGGCCTCTGAAGCAACAGCTCTTCCTTCCTTGAGACACACGATCTTACTAGAGCAACATCACAGAAACAGAATAAAATAAACTATTGACTGAAAAAGCAGCTACACATTGATATTTGCCACCTTAAAGGCAATTAAAAAGTGAACCTTATACTGCCTTATAAGGGCAAGTAACTCTATAATTATTTTACTCCCTTTGCCAGTACAAATATGATACTAATTCTGGGAAAACAGGCATCCAAAAGTCTAAATGAATAAATGAAGTACCTGAAAATCAATAGAGTTGAACAAAACAGTCATTAGTATTAAAGTCTTGTTCAAACACTTGGCAGGGGACTGAGCCAACATTTGCAGGCTCATATAACTGAAGTGATCAATCAAATTAGAAACCAAAGAAGCAAATGTGAGGTAAACTGCATTTTATGCATCTGTGTCTCTGACTATATATTAATTTTTTTCACCCATAATTCATCTTTACTCAGTCTGACTTGTCACAGAGTTACTGTGGGCAATTTATCAACCACTTGAGCATGAAGTCTAAGCACTGGTCTTCTCCTCCCATCTCCCCCAGCCTCCCCATGCTGTCTCAGGGCACCAGGAGAGCTAAAAAGGAGGGCACAGTTAGGGCAGAAAAATCATTTTGTTGGTAGAGTTTCCTTATTCCTGGTGAGAAACAAATACACCTTGACAGAAAGGGATTTAACTACCACAGAAGAGAGAGGGTTTGCTTGAGCCACTCATTCAGAGGGACAGTCTCCAGGCCGTGCAAATAAGATTCCAAATTCTGTTTAAAAAAACAAAACAAACAAAAATTCATCTTCAGTTGTTTTTCTTGCAGAAAATGCAGTCGCTGGAGCTGTCGCTGGAGGTGGAAGGAGTCAACACCTTGGTCCCACACCTGCTCTGAGAGATGGGAAGCGCTAACCAAAGATTGGACAGCAACCCCATGAGTGGCAGCCTTTCCCCTCTGGTTGACAGGCCAAGCATTTCATCACAGATCTTCTAATTTCTGCTTGGGAGCCATCTCAGTTTAAATAGCCCCTCTCTCCAGACTCGTTAGCCTAGCTCACTGTGCAGCCGCGAAGAGTCCATCCCTCTCTTTAAGCGCAGTTCGTTGCCTGCATCCTCTTTCTCTCCAAAAAGGTACCTTGCACTTCTGCCACCACCAGCAGTTGGGGTGCAGGGTGGTTTCTACTTCTCTTTATCCCCACAGACAAGCAAGTAAGTCCATATGTAAATCTAACTCTCTGGCTGGCAGCGCGGTGCACACGCAGCCACCACTGCTACAGTTCCTGCTGTCCTCCTGGGTGACCTGCTGCACTGGGGCTGGGGAAGCCTGCCAGCCTTTGCTGTATTCTCACCTTTACCTTCAGGACTCTTAATTTAAAAAAAATAAAAAACAAACAACAAACAACCAGGCCCCACAGTCACTGACAGAGTCTCTGCTGGTTACAAGTGCAGAGGAGGGAAAAAATGTGCAATTACCAGGGCAGAAATTGCTAGACACTCACAAATGTTTGTGGGGCAAGTAAAGACCTGGCAATTATTATGGGAGAGGTTGCAATAGGTATCTCTGATGTACCTTGGGGAAGGGACCCATGAACTGTTTTACCAGTTCAGATGCAGAATTTCTGAAGGAACCCATCTGATAAAGTTTGAGCAACATCCTGATTGAGTCAAGTTAGTCTGGGCTCTCTCTGCTGCCTGCACTCATATTCTTTCACCCCTGCCTTGTTGCACACCCATATATCTCTATGTTGGCATAGCATGGAGCATAGTAGTCGTACGGGGCACACACCTGCTATAAAACAAATGTTACTGCCATTCTTGGAAGGCAAATGTTTCTCCCGGTTTTAATTTTGCCAGAACTAAATCCATCTTGGGGATGAACCACAGCTCACCGAAACCCACAAAAACACCCTGACTGATTTCAATGGCTGTTGGATGAGGCCTGTGTAAAACATCTTACGCAAATCTTTAGAAATAAAAAATGTCTATCCATCCAGACGCAGGGAAAAAGATTTCCAAAAATAGATGCCTAAGTGAATCATAAAACACAACCAAAAAAATCCCAACACAAACTGTATCTGTTTAGACACGTATGCAGGTATGTATGTGTCTGAGTAGCAAAGGTCCAGGACACGCAGTCAAGTTACCGTGGCGTAGCAAGTAACCGTACATGACAAAAGCGATGGCAACTGAATATGTTTCCAGCCTGTGGCAAAAGATTATGCACGTTAGCTTAAAGCTCTTGCACTGCAGACCACTCCAAGTCAGACAGCCCTGCGTTTGCAGCGGGTAACTAGCGCTTACACGGGCTGCCGCAGTAGATCAGGCAACGTGGGGATAATTTGTCACGCCATGGTAATGTTTGGAGTTACTGTACTGCATAACAATAAAGTCTCGAGAAAGTGAGATTTTATTTTCCCTACTCTTCTTCTCTGACCCAGACTGGTACGAGAGAATTTAGCCCTGTAATTCCAACTCTCTGACAACCGTGTTGTTGATGCTCCCCCACAGCTAAAGTGTGTTATGTATCTTTCATTCAAACAGACATTTTCTAAAAGTGTCCATGCTCAAAAAGTTGAAGTTTATTTCCCAGACAATGCACGTGCACTGAAAGACTCCGAACTGTTCAGCTCCAGCTTAAAAGACCTTCCACGATGTGTAGCGTAAGCCAACTCACCTTTGGAGGAGGGTAGAGATGACAAAGCGGTTGTCCTGCATCCTGTTTACACAGCTTCAAGGAATGGCAGACCACATCGGCATTCATTTCCCTGTCTATACTGAAGGAAATGGTGAAAAAAAAAAAAAAAAAAAAGACTATTACACCCTTCTGGGTGCTTGAAAGTAGAAGCTATTTCCATGGGAAGTTAAATGTCTCTATCACCAAACAATAACCTCAGCTCCCTTCACTGTGGCCCATAATCGCTGCTCAGTACAGTGCTGGGTCCTAACGATTTTCTGCCACGGCATCCTATTCAGCATATAAAATTGGATCCCAGGATGATGAAAAACCACTGTGCTTTATATGCAGCACCTGAATCAAATACATTATGACTGTTCTGTTTTTTAATCAATCATAAGTCTGACAAAGATTTAAAGGTTAAAGTTAATGCATATGCAATGTGGCACATATGAATGTTCAATCATTAACTCAAGAAAATAACCAGAAATCCTTCAAAGATCCTTAACCTTTAATCACCAAGCACAAGAGCTAGGATTGTTTCTTTCTTTTTGGGACACACCTCTGGGCTAATCAGGAATTAAATTAAAATGTTTGATTATAGCACTACTTAGTCCTGTAAGCACTTTGCAGTCCCTTGTGAAGTTTTAAAAATAAAAATAAAAACCCTAGGGAGGAAGAAGGTCTAGCAAAAGTGCTGTTAATGAAACTAAGAACTTTCAAAGAAGAAGAAAATGACCTGCATTTTATTTTTTTAATCACTTACATTACTTAGTAGGCTTCCCCAAGAGTGTGTATCAAGGTCGGGGCTGAGAGCATGTAGGGGCTGACAATTAGAAAGCTTGATTAAAGGTAGAAGGGAAAGCAAGAGTCGAGTATTACAGCAGTGTGACTCTGTAGAACCTGTCTCGCACACACGGGTTATTCAAATTCCTCCCTCAGCCAAACGAGCTGAATTTCAAAAGGTAATTACATCAGGTGGGCCTGATCTGAGATTCAAATGGAGTATGAAAACAGTTACCTGTGGCAGCCTGTGTTTATTCACTCAGGAATAGCTATGCCAAATGCCAAACCAGAATCACTCTCAAGCATCTCTGCTTTAATAATAATGTGATTTTAAGAATGAAACCCCTGCTTTTCAATCCGACAGCACGTCTGTACATGTCAAGAACAAACTAAGTGAAGACCTGAGAGGACACAGCAATACTTACAGTTCAGCTATGTGTGGTCCATAAAGTTCAGCAAATACGTAACAGAAACCTTGCAGATTTTCTAGAAAAAATAATTTTTTTAAAGTAATTCAGCATGGTGAAGCTGGTCAAAATACAACAGGAGTTGGTTCATTCAGGTGAATGCTGATTTATATTAGGGGAAGGCGTGTGAATCTATGACCTCAGCATAGCACCAGAGAATGGGAAAACCTGAATTTCTAACCTTGCCTAAAGCCCTTAGATAAAGACTAAAAATGATAACTAGTATTTGTTAAGCGTTCTGAGTAAGGCATCACAGAAAAGTCAAAAGAAATCATACATGCTGCAGCATCTTCTAAGCTGTTTAAACAAAGAGCTCAGTAGGTTTGCAAGAAGAAAGAAAACAAATACATAAATCAAAGTGCAGCAAGTCATGTAGGGCTTGATGCTACTGCAAGAGCTGCCTCAGAGCTTCTGGGGGTTTGTGCGAGTCAAGAGAATGCGTTCTGTGTAGAGCAGGAGTTGCACAGGAGTAATTGCATTCAAACAAATATTTGACGCTTTTCGTTTAGCTTCCTTTCACAGTCTGCAGCTGTGTGCCTTTTTGGGATGCTGGCTCAGGTGGCTTTCTTTAATCTGGGTGAAGCATGCCCTCCATGCCCTCCAGAAGACAGCTCATCAGAGATTTCTTTAAGATACCGTTGTAAATAAAAGTGGTCCCCACACCCGAGCAAAGACACTGATGGGAGAGACTAGGGGTTTGAATACAGGTAGGCCATAATGGCAGCACCAGTCTGCAAGTTCCCACGGAGGAAAAGTGACTGTTTCTTGGCCTGAACAGATGAGAACTGGTTAACCGTGTACGTATCCTGCAAAGGAGGTGTCAGGCCTTGTTTCGGCATGGGTGGTGGTGTGAAAAGTCATGAAGAGGCAGGTTCGTACAAGTGCAGTGACAACAAACTTGCAGCTCCTGAAATTCCAGAGAGATGTCGTTTTCTCTTGCACCTCCATTAGACAGACAGATAAGTATCTGTACTTGTGGAAGAAAACACAGAGTATCCTCATCTTTCCCAAAGAAAAGACTTAGAACCCCCAAAGCAGCCGCTTTCCTCCAACTTTGGGCTGAATATTCTATTTTAACCAGCGTCAGGCTGGACATGCCCAGGGACGGGGATCTGTTGCATACAAAGTGGGTAGTTTTGCCCCGGGGAGGGTACAAAACGTCGCAGCACTGACTCCATCAGCAGGCACGGGTATGTTCTCACTCCCGTGAGAGCCGGGGAAGGTGGCTGCTCTCCTGCTAGGACTGCAGACACCCTGGCTGGCAACCTGTGCCCCGAGAAAGGAGGACTGGGACCAGAAAAGCATAGCAGGGAATAACAAGATAATTTCCTCAACACCCTCCTACTCATAGGGTGTTGCAGGCAGCTTCTATAACTACAATAGCTGATTTTTCTTATCCCATGCCAGGTGTTTTATTTCAATCAAGTTATTAGCTTCATTTCTTTGCCTCCTTTGCCACATAACTCCTCTCTATTGGCTCTTTAGAAGCAATCTGCAAGTTAAAAATTGGTCTCCTGGCTAGAATTAGATTTTATTCTTGTTCACCTAAAAGGAAAAACATCACAGACATCCATAACCCTGCGTTTGGTATCATTGCCGATTAAAACACCCTCTGATAAGGCTTGCCAGCGGGGCACCTGGCTCTCCATAGCAGCCAGCAGGAAAAGGTGGCTGCCCTCCCCAGCACTTCCCTGGTGCATCACAGGCGGTGGTCGTCTGATAGGTTTCCCAAACCAGCTGTTTTCTGTAATGTTTCTGGCCCTGGAGGAGCAAGCTGGTTGCTGTAACCCATAGTGGTGGCTGTGAGGAGGGGAGGGTTTGGCTGGCCATCAGCTCTGGGGAGCTGATGTTGGGGGTCTGCTGGTCACACTGATTTCTAGGCGCTGATTTCCTTACACATATAGGAGTCTTGACACGTAATTACCCCATGGGGTAACAAGAGGAAGAGCGATGGGTGGCAAAAAGAACAGCAATAACATAGAATTATTGTTAGGCACATAGAATCCTTTTGGAAGATACGGATGTCATTCAGGCTTTGGCTTCCAGCAAAACAGATGCAAGCCACGGGCAGGGTTTACAGGACTTGCCCTCCGAGGCAGCCCGCATTCATGTGTTCACAAACCTCCGGCTCTGCTGACAGACACAAAGAGAGGCTACCGCAGAGAGAAAGCTGTTAGGAAGAACTTGCGTAAGTCAGAAAGGAGCGGGAGAGAGAAAGATGATGATGAATAAATTTGAGTGTTCAGGGGCAAGAGAAGAGCTTAAACCAAACTAAATGCTGGAAAATATAGAGAAAATGTAGAGTATACTTCCTTTTGCCCTGCTTTAGGTAACAGAGATCCCTAAACTGCCTTGTTATTCCATGCTGAAAATCCGGAGGGTTTTCCTCTATAGCTTTGTAGTCCTAGAAACACAAATTCTGGCTGAATCCCAGAAGATAAATATTTGCAAGAAAGATGGTATTAATCATGTTGCCATTTCCACTCGAGCTCTAAGGTGTTTACACAGCAGTGGTCAACACAGAAACAGAGCATGACTCAGAGGCAACGCTGGAGGCAGACGGTCTCAAAGCACATTTCGGGTATCAGACACCTCTGTTTCATCAGGCAGACAGCCACTATCCAGGTAAACATACATTCTTCCTAACAAAATCCCTTACACCGTATATACTGCCCATTCCCCCAGACCTGGCATTTCTGTCTGCTCAAGAGCCTCCTTCACTCACGGTGTTACAGTTCTTATTTTCATAGGTTTATTGGCCATGTCGCTTGAATCACACGCATTGCAAATATTTCCATATAACTAAGGTTGCGATTGCGTTTTCTACACAGCCTATGGGATTGAATGGGATTGATGAGTACTGAATTTTTCTCTTTTTCTCTAAACATTTTTGTTCTTGAACATCATATAACTTCACTGAAGGCTTGATCCAACCCAAACTTGATTGTAATCAAAATTATAGGAGGCCCTTTTAAGAAAAAACACGAGTTCTTATTCCCTCTTTGGCCCTAGGAAAAGCCCCACTACCATTAATTTGTTGCTGTTATTGTTGCAATCAATTGTAGGCATGTGTACAATAATGAAATTGTTCCTCCAGGTGAAATGGCACGGCCTTGCTTTAGTAGGTTTGCTCCTCATGAGCATCCAAAGCTTTTCTATTGTTTCACGTAGCAAGAGGAATCTGTTGACTCCTGCTGGGCTGCAGCGTTCACCTCGTGGGACAGGATAAATTGGGTTACACTGTAACTCCTGCACAATCCATAGGATTTTTCATTCCTTTCAAGTTCAGGGTCATTTTTTTTCACTTGGGGGTATCCATGCATCTCATAGAAGGTAACTGGATTACACAGCTTTAACTAAAGGGATAATGGGGTTTTATGTGTGTAAAGAATGGCAGCTGAAAAGAAATATCTTGACATGTCAGCGGAACAAGGTCCACTAAGTGAATCATGAACATAGAACTAGCATGTCATATTTTAAAGAAGAAAATTGTATTTTAATAGCAGGATCAGCGCTTCTAATTGTAACTTCACGGTTATGTGCCTGTAATTTAAAACACTGAAGATATGACTTATGGAATAGAAATCAGATAAGCATCATTCTATCAATGAGTGAATGCCAGCAATTACCTCCCTGCCCCTTCCTGCATCAGGAAATCCTGTCTTGGAAAGGAGGGAATTAATATTCTACATGCGTCTTCTGTGAAACTAGGGTCTACAGAGCAAGATGGTTTCTCAGAGATACAGTTCATGGAATCCTATATAAATGACTTTTTAATGAAGAATCTTAAGCCATCTTTTCACATTCGTAACATTACAAAGATATCATGAATGTAAGATCTAGTCACTTAAATAGTTGTAGGATTGGTCTGTGAGGCACAAAGCTATTCTGGCATTCAAACTTTCTCTAGATGTGCATTCAGACAGCTAAGCTCCTTTGGGCAGATAAGGGGCAGAAAAAGGGGAGTCTACATATATTCATATGGAATAGCTATCACTTTTGAAATTTGTATCATCAGTTACATTTCAATAGCTTGTCTGTGCAGACCAAATGTTCACATCTTACACCAGTCAACCTCAGCTCATTTTTGGGATTTTACAATAGCAGCTTCTTACATCTGCTGAAAATATTTTCATCTTCACAGTTGCTATAAAGACCCATATCAACAAGAAAGAGGAGTGGCTGGGCATAGAGCGAATCTTTTCTTAAGCTGCTAACAAAAAGATAAAGTGGAGAAAAAGGGAGGGAAGGGGTCAGCGTGCGTTGGTGCTCACATGCACGTGGCTTAATACAACCCCATTCATGCTAACTTTGGGACAAAATCCCAGCTCTGAAGCCAAGTGTGCCACGCCACCGACTTCCCTGCAGAGAACACCTTGCTATCTTTCAGCTAGATTCATTTGAGATGCTGCATGAGAAGCAGATAAAACTTTTCCAGACTCCACGTGTGAATTTTTAATTAACAGAAAATTACAGCAGTACCAACATAACATATGGTGTATTATGTGGTACTTACCAGGTATGTAGTTGCACAGTGTCTCCACGGCTGCCTTTACTGTACTGTTGTGCCACTGTGCAAGCTGTTCAATTACAGAGACCACGAGCACGCATCCTTCAAACAAACAAACAAACAAAAAAGAGCGAATACGGTTATCTGCAAAGTGTGACGAAGCACCCCGTACCGTAGAAGAATTTCAGGCATTGTTGAGCATTTCATTTCTTGAGGTGCTCCATGGCAGATGAGTGTTCAAGGGGAAAAAATATCTGCGAATTTCTGTCTTTATTCAAAACCTGTAAGTTATCACAGAGAGGATGCTGATGCCAGAGGAGCACTCAGAACAGCCTGGCTTTTACAGCGCTGGATGTTGCTCCTGAAAAAATGATTTTCCATCCTTTCAAGGATGAAAATCAAGGAGCCAGGGGGACAGCCACTGTTACAACTGCCTGCTTGGCCACCTACTCTCTTGTTATTTCTTTCTTACAAGAAAAAAGGCACAGGTCTGTACCTGATGGGACTTCTGCACCTCTCCACACAACCCACACAGAGAGCTACTGAAACAGGGGGAAAAAAAAAAAAAAAAAAAAAAAGGGTGTGGCTGCCTGCAGAAGAGACCTCATGAAGCAGACATATGTGCTGACCACCACAAAGCATCCACGGCATCATTTCTTCACGTTTTCCTCGGAAGCCCAGCGGTGCTTGGCATGCACGGGGCTGCTGGGCCCAGCTACACATTTGCCAAAGCCAAAATGTCTTCTGAGTTTATTCTGCCCTCCTTCTGTGGTTGGAAAGAAACCATTTCCTATGACTTACGAAGGTGGTTATTTCTCACCACTAATCTGGGTGCAAGCAGAAGGCTAAAGCCTAGTTGCTCCTTGGACTAGCTGTGGCTGAGATCCGAGGTCTTGCACACCATAGTGAAGCATTTCTTGAGATTTACAGCACTCTTCTGACATTTTTAGGATGAAATAGGTTCAATGTGATCCCCATATAGCAATCATTCAGAATCCATGTGATGACCATAAGTGGTTCATTTTAAGATGATTTTAAATTGCTGCAGGCCAGCACTGTGCTCTCTCTTTCTGCAGTGGCTTCACCATTTTATAAAGAAACCACATTCGGTGATGCAAAGCCTTGCCAAAATAGGTTTGGCAGCCAAAGTAAGGTCCCAGCCTGGACTGAGAGCCTGTGTAACTGAGGTAGGTATCCCGGGCAGCCAGGGGACAAGGAGCCAGGACACCAGTTTCCAGCAGCCTGAATAAAGATTTATCTTTGAAATCCCTATAGCTGAACCCTGTTTCCTCCCTGCTGCAAGAAATCTCAGGTCTCACGATTTGCTCTGATACAGTCTAGTAATTGAGGTAAGCTGCAGCAGGATGTGGATGCAGATCCATCTTTTTTCCAAAGCTCAAGGCATTAATGTTTAGGGTTTTCAGACTGGCACAACTCTTCAAAGTGAGCTTTTAAATTCCTTCCAAGTACCTCTGCCTATGTGCTATTAAATCAAAGTGATGTTTTTCAATGTAAATAACTTGAATGCTCCTATGGATCAAGTGGCAAGTCAAAGAGGAGGTAATACAATTCAAACTTGTTCTAAGACCAATGCCTTTGAGTCTTCTATTACTTCTTCTATCCCAAATACAGTAATCCAGTGGAAATTACAGTGAACTTGCCACCTCTTTTGCAGGGATAAAAGCCCACTTCTCCATACTTATTAAATAAAATGCTCACTCAAAGTCCTCTGCAGAATGATTTATAGAGCATGCTAAAAGACATTACCTCCAGTCAGCCTAAAAGAATAGGAGAATAAATGGAGACAGATACAACCAAGAAAAAACCCTGAAGCAAGTAATTCCTTCTCCTCCCCGTCCTCCCCAAATAGCCACACACTAGCCCAAGGAATTAACAGCTAATTACAACAGAATAGCCCATAAAGAGAAAAAAAAAATGGAATAGTAAAGATGAAAACTAAAACCAAAGGGGACATTCAAGCTGGAGGGTAAAGTGTGCTCAGGACTTGGGGTGGATTTTAAGCACAAGCAGGCGCCTTAGCACAGCCTTGTCCCGTGCCGTGCCCCAGGCAGGGATCATATTAGGGACCAGTCCCCAGCGCACATTTGGACAAGGACACCCGGTCAAGGGAAAGGAAGTTGAGGGGTGCAAGAGATGTCAGCTGTTTGGGTGCAAGCCACGCCCTGAACCGGCCCCCGAGACAGAAAACAGACCCTGGCTTATTTGCAAGGGCAGCATGGGCAAATAAGGACCACACTGGAACGACTCCATCGCTTAGCACGGAGACGGCGGTGCACATCCTTGAAATACGCTGGAAACACACCTGAAAGGCATTTCATAACTTGGTTCTTACAAGGCCATATTATTAACACACAAGAGCAACCTACAGACAACTAAAACTACCCTTCCCCTGCCTTCTATGTCTGCTATATTCATGAGGATGGAGGCTCAGAAAAAGTAAATTACCAAAATTGATGCCTTAACCACAAAACCACATATTCTTTCTGTGCCTTCCTTTCTTCTCTTACCAAGGTCAGGCCTGCATCTAATAATATTCCTGTCTAGCACTTAGAAAGAGAAAAAGGAGCCCAAGCAGAAAGACAGAAAGGAGCTAATCCTTTGATACTTTCTAAAGGAGACAACTTTTATTGTTTTACCTCTTTCTTTTGCACCAGGAGCTTGAGGAAGCTATGAATGAGCATATGCCAGAGCTTAGCAGACATGGGTCCAGGAGTCTGTGAGGGGTGAAGATAAGGAGAGAAAGAAACTTAGGAGACACTGAAGTTAGTTAGGAATGTTAGCAGAGGAAAATGCTTCAGCAGGCAGAAGGGCTGGGAGAGCAGGCAGCCCCCAAAACACAGGCTGAAGCAGAACTGAGCACAGGGGCAAGTGGGCAACAGCGGTGGAGCGGACGCCAGCGTGGGTTGAGGAGTAGGAGAGCCTGACCAGACTCTGCAATTGCAAGCCTGGATGCAAAGTGAGGGAAAACGCCCCCCCTTGCAAACACAGGCGTGAGCTCAGACACAGGGGGGCAGGTGAAAACTGGAAGGATCTGGAACGTCATGTCCATGAGGCTCCCGTCACGCCAGGGAGCTGACTGTGTCACCAACTGCAGCAGAGAGAAATGACAGTCATTTTGCTCCTGCACCTTCACCCAGGGCCTGCCAGCACATTTTGCAGAGAGAACAGAGTCCTTATCTCTTGGTCCCCTGCTCCCCTGTCCTGCCCAGCTGCCTCTTCCACCCGCCCCACTTGCTGGGCATCCCTGCCGAATGGCACAGGAATGGGGGCTCGGGCTCGGTCCAGCTTTCTAAAAATCTGTCTCCCACCTCTGGCATCCCCTCTTCCTCCACCAGGACTGCAGGGGTGTGCCGCCGTGATGAAGCTTGCAAACTGCTGCCAGTGGGAGTGGAACACTGTCTGCCTCCCCCCCGGCCACCGGCATCGCAGCTCATGCTTCCCGTGTTGTGGCAGGCCTGCTCCCACCTCGAGCAGAAATCAACCTCCGCAATGTCTCTGCTTTCAGTTACGGCATCCTCAGGTGCCAAAATGTCAGCTCCAGTGCTGCAAGGAGAGATTTTATTTCAGCGTAAAAGCTGGCCTGATGATAAAAACATCGATGCAATGAGTTGACCCTCTCGCTTGCACCGGGAGAGACCGGCGCATGACGTAGCCTCGCACCTTCCCCGGCAGATGAGGAAAGAGCTTGCCTCTGACTGCAGCTCAGCCCTGCCGCACCTCAGTGCACCGCTTTTAGACTGAAATAGAGCTACTCACCCCAAGCGCAGGCTCAGCAGCCTGCCTAATGATTCGTCTTGGGGCAGGGGTGCAAAGAGGCTCCTCTCTCTCTCTGACTCAGATGTTGCCCCCATGACTCTCATTTTCGTTATCGCCGCGAGGTCTTCTCGCCTGTGGTAGAGTAGGTGCTTAGGGACAAACAGTAAGTTACGGACAAACACTTTTCAGAAATCTGAAAAGTAGGGCTGAGGATAAAAATACCCCCAGTGTTTCCATTTCCTCTGATCTACAAGAAAAGTCTCCACTGAAGATGTGAGTTTCTCTTTCATCTTTGTCAAATGGGGGGGGGGTGGAAGCTATTTTTGGTTCAGCTCTGCCAAACAGAAACAGAATTCTTAATCACGAAAACAATCATCCAGGTAACCTTATTCATGGAGCGGTCTCCTGGCAATTAAATGGAAATTTTTCATGTTGATTAAGTCAGTTAGACACTTTTGTGTCTATCGAACCAGGCCCAAAGGGAGATTCGCTTCACGTGAGAATTAACAGAGCCATCGCTGGGTTTGTGCAGTACTTAATGCAGTACCTTGGGCTACTAGATGCTGTATGAATATAAACAACAATAATAATAGCCTGACTACTTGGGAAAAGCCCACAGAGCCAAACTTCAAAGTGTTTGCTCTCATAACCTAGTCTTTACTGTCACGGAGAGGATGCTTCTGACCACGCTATTACACCCTCCCTGCCTCAGGCACCCACAGACCACACCTCGGTTGTTCAAATGCTCCCCTGCAAATGCACCTATTCCAGATGAAACGTGGGACAAGTCGATAAAGAAAGTCTTGAATGATTTTCAAAGGTGTCTGGGGTTCTATTTGGGGCATCCTCAGCTGCAGGCACTGTGGCTGAAGTCTCAGGACCTGAATCTGGGGACTCTTCCTGCCCTCCGGTGGGAAAGGTGCCCCCCGGGAACACGTACCATCAGCCGATCTGCTCTCTGTTTCCCTTATCTACCTGGGCTTTTATCAGGTGTCCTTGATCCACCTCTCTTTACTGCTCGTGGTCTGCTGGCACCTCTCATTGCCCCGCCATGGGCCATGGCCCAGGGGACGCCCGCTTCTGTTCAGGCTCTGCTGGCCTCAAAGCCCTTCATTTAAACTGATGTCATCAGAAGCAGCTTTTGGGATGGAGACTGTAAATTACTCAGGAAAAGGGTTGAACCCTGGGAGGAGGGAGGAGGAATGTCTAAGGGGACTCACTGTAGTCCAGGGAGTCTAACCCACCCAGCTTCCTTGCTTTTTTGGATAAAGATGTGCTTCTCCCCAGAAAGTAATTCAGATTTATCCTCTAGGAGAACGTAGCTC